AAATAAGCGGATTCAGAGACTATTGACGAAAACCAACAATGCCAAAGGACTAGCAATTGCTACACTTAAATTTTTGCAGAAAATCGTCTGAAATGTAAAGATAAAACCATTACAATCATTTAAAGATTATCATATTTATAAGTTAAATTGACAACATCCAACCTGTTCTGAAAGATCTCGATCACAATTCACATACATAGCGCATGCTATAAAGTAAGGCATCCAAGTCACTGTGAAACTTCCAGTGGTTAACATGACTACCCTGATCGCCTTCATTTTGCTCAGGCGCTCAACCCGTCTAACAGCGTTACCACTTCTGAAAAATCTCAAAAATTTATTTCCTGATACAACTTCAGATAATGTGTTATCTTCTTTTGGGCTGATGATGACTGTTGATCCTCTAAATAACCGTAAACCTGACAGAGTTGGTTCCGGTACAATTTGAGAATGACTTATAGATTGAGTAGAAGCTTCTCTTAATTGTATCACCTGCAGAAATTTAAGTATAATAAGTATTATGTGCTCTGTCCTAACAATCTATATTACTTATGAAACAAACTATTTTTGATATAGTTTAATATTTTAGAAGTTGATGTTACAGTTTACGATTTTGATCTATACCTTTCGAAGAGCTTGATGAAGTATTATTGAATACAGCACGATAACCAATATAATAGGCATTGCTCCAAGAGACGCTGTCAATAATATTAGAGGATCAGGTGCTAATTTAATGAACCAGCATATACGGCCTTCTTCTGTAGAACCTTTCCAACCCATTGTAGGTAAAAATCCTACTACTATTGCTATGAAAATAAATTAAAATACGTTGATAAAATATGGCCAGAAAATTATTTTTCTCGGTAAAGAAACTATTGAGATTTTAAGCCAAATTATCAAAGTAATAAGTTCACCCTTACCTACAATCCAAACAACTGCAATTCCCAATCGAACCCTATTTGGGTATACCCAGTGCTGGTAGTTCAGGCCATGTAAAATATAAAGAAATCGATCTATAGCAATTAGACCGACAGATAAAATAGAAGCCAAAGTACTTGATACAATCATTCCTTTAAAATAGTTAACGGTGTAAATGTGCTTTTTTTGTTGCGTTTATTTCATTTATACTTTGATTTTGAAATAATTGACAATATAAAAAATGAAAAAATTGTTAATTATTTGAATTCAATTTACCTATTTGAATAGAGCAAGACAATTCATTTCTTCCATCTTTTGGATTCACAGCACCAAAAATTACAGCAATTCCTGTTATTAAGTCTGCAACTGCGACATTTCCAAGTAACATGTATGTACTGCGCGGTTGATGGCCTGTTTGAAAAGTACTTAAAATGTAAATAGATTGGATCACAATACTAAATTACTATAATTTAATAAATATTTGTATATTATAATTGTGGCAGTGCGTACCTCTTTTCAAAATTAATCCACTAGATATAACGACTGCAAAATTTAGAGTAATTATGACGGATCCCAAAATTGGCACTAGCGTCTTATACAAAGTTAACTGAACTTCTTTTTCAGGTTCCATTGTTGAACTTATATTTCAATCCTTACAATCCATATTAGATATAATACTACATGTATATTATTTTTGATTTATAATCTAATATTTTAGAAGTTTATCTTACACAGTTTATGCTTTATATCAATTACTTGCCGGATTCTTAATTAATAGGTAATATATATGAAATAATTTCAAAATATTGGCATTGCACATACTGAAAAATACTTAACTTTTTATTAACACATTGAAATTTCATTACTATCATATTAAGTCTTAATCGATTGCTTGTTTTTAACACCGTAGCGTCAAAATTATTAACTTTGGTAAAGCCAATTTCGACTTTGAATGAGCTTTCTAAATTGAATGTCATGTCGCAATTATTCTAGACAATGCATTAATTCAATAGAGCTTTCATTTATCTATACTTTTTATCGCCCAGTATTGGTGATGTCACTAACATATTGCAATTAACAAGTCTGATGCGCAGGTAAACTAAATATATTTTCAAAGTTTTAGTTCTGATAACTATTTAATATTATAGAATCGGTAAAAATAATAAATTATAGTAAAGACTGATTTTTACAAAGTCCTGAGTATTACTGTTTCTCAAAAATCCTGCTATCTTAGCAAGCAGTAGTGATATCAGTTTTCACTTAAAAATATAGATCTAAATATAATTTCAAGTAAAATTTTCTATCATTTCGGGGCTGCAAGGATTTAAAAATATGATCATAATAAATAAATTTATCACAAATAGAAAAATCATTGGGTCGTCTTCTATAATAATAACTTAAATGCAACAGCATGTATAGAATACTTAATTCTGATCGCTGTTAAAGCTATATAAGTAAAAAATAATAATAAAAAAACACAGTATAACGTCTGTGGCCATAAGTTTTTTAAGTTTGTTTTTGCAATTGTATCTTAAATTGAAATATAAATATTTTCTTCTATGGAAAAGACAAATTTAAATGTTGATTCTTATTCAATTTGATATCGGTACGTATAGGCAGTTTCAAGCTAATTTGAGTAACTTAGTTTAAATAAATATTATTTATAAAATCTGATTATAATATTTTCAATTAAGGCCGTAATTGAAAACAAGTTTGTGCACTTATAGTTTATGCTATCTCTCAAATTAATTACGTTAATTATAGTATATTTGTTTTGTACATAGTACTAGTTCTGATGGCATTTCCAAATTGAATTATCAATGTAGATAAAATACGCTCAATATATGTCAGATAACATACAACGCACAATTATTCAAATAGAAAATCAGTATGGAAGTAAACAGATAATAGGAATTAAATCATCATGGAAGCAAATATTAATTAAAAATATAATAGAAAATATTGGATAAAAAACTACGTGTTTAATATCAATATACAAGAAGTTATAAACGAAAAACATTTTGGTTATATTTTA